AAGTGGTAGAGCACTAGCCTTGAGCTGAAGAGCTGAGGGACAGCGCCCAGGCCCAGAGTTCAGGCCCCACGACTGGCAAAAAAAAAAAAAAAAGAGTCTCATGGACTTTCCTGCCCAAGCTCACTTTGAACCGTGATCCTCAGACCTCAGCCTCCTGAGTAGCTAGGATTACAGGCATGAGCCACTGGTGCTCGCATTGGGGTTTTCTTCAGAACAGAAATGCATACATATTTTATTTCTTTGTTGAGCAGTGCCTGGTATATCTGAATATCTTACTGTCTTCTCTCTTGGCTTTAGTACTCTCTTTGCAGTGAGCCTCTGATTGAACTCTGCAACTCTGGAGCTAGTGGTTCCCTCTTCTATGTGTCTAGTGATGATGAATTCATCATCAAGACAGTCCAGCATAAGGAAGCAGAATTTCTGCAAAAATTGCTTCCAGGATACTACATGGTAAGCAAAGGAAGAGAGGAGCGCTGGCTGACTACTGAGTGAGGCTGGGGAGGCTGTCTTCAGCAAGGCAGAATAGTGTTAAAACTTTTTCTGAAGAGTATTTTTGTGCTTTTTGCTCCATCTCTTTTGACTCTGGGATTTGTTTTTCCGCCTTGTTTTTAAATGGTATTATACTGGCTTAAGATTCAAGATGTTTCTGTTTTGTTGTTTGTCGACCTTGTAGTTTGGAAAATAAGTTAGTTTACTTTCTTTGCTAATCTCACTCTGATAGATTGCACTTGTAGACACTGGAGAATTTATGAAACACTTAGTCTTCCAGGAATATAACCAGGGGTATGGGTTAAGATCTTTTGTTGTTGTTTGTGGTGCTGGGATTGAGATCACCTTACGCTATATACATGTTAGGCAGGTGCTTCTACCACTGAGCTACACCCTCAGCCTTCTAAATTTTTTTTTTAAACCTTGTTAAGTTTGAATACACCTATCATATGTTTGATATCCTAATTCCCATTTTGGATAATCTCTGGCTTGGTGGTGATGTCGTTGAGGTTGATACATCAATATATTTTGGTGTGGTTTTTTTTGCAAATTTTTTGTTGTGATTAAGTGATTACATAATTTCACAAATTTCACAGTATTGTGGGATAGTGATGCTTAGTTAGTCACATTCTAACCTTCATGGGGCAAATTATCGTAGTCTATAAAGTTTATGAGTTCTATGGGCTTTGACTATACAGCATTAATATATTTTGAACAAAATATGTGGTAGACGCATTGTCTCAATCCCATGTAGGAAACAAGAAGGAGGATGACAATTTTTGCCCTTGAATTTTACTGAAAACTTTTATTTGTGTCACCAGAACCTCAACCAGAATCCTCGAACTTTGCTGCCTAAATTCTATGGACTGTACTGTGTACAGGCAGGTGGCAAGAACATACGAATTGTGGTGATGAACAATCTCTTACCGCGGTCAGTCAAAATGCATATGAAATATGACCTCAAGGGTTCAACCTACAAGCGGCGGGCTTCTCAAAAAGAACGAGAGAAACCCCTCCCCACCTTCAAAGACCTGGACTTTATACAAGACATCCCTGATGGTCTTTTTTTGGATGCTGATATGTACAATGCTCTGTGTAAGACCCTACAGCGTGACTGTTTGGTGAGTTTATGCCATATTTGCCTCTCTCAGACATCAAAATTCTCAGTCAAATTTTTGTTGTTGATGGTGGTGGTGGTGGTGGTGGTTTTGCTGTCTTTTTGTGGGGGTAGTAGGGGGGACACAAGAATGAGGGGAGGAGGACAAACAAATTCAGTAATGTTATTCAATATATACTATGTAAAAAATGAACTATGCAACTTGTGGGCAAAGACCAGATGCGGAAAAGTGAAGGAAGAGGTGACATTGTCCAAGAAGCATCATATTCATTACCTGACTTAGGGAATTGTAACCTCTTGTACAACTCCTTACTAATAATAATAGTAATTTTTTTAAAGTACCTAAAAAATTCTCAGTCTCTGAAACAGCTTGGTTGTTCTTAGTGACTTTTTCAGGAGCTGGGGCTCTGTTCCTTGGTGTCAAAGGTCCTAGATGTTAGGCAAGAGAGATTTCTAAAAGGTTTGGCACTCTTTTTTTTGTTTTTGTTTTTTGGTGGTATGGGGGATTGAATGCAGGGACTTGTACTTGGTGGGTAAAAACTCTACCACTTAGAGCCACATTTCCAAGCCCTTTTACTGTGTGTGCATGCGTTCATGTGTGTGTGCCAGTACTGGTACTTAAACTCTTGACCTGGGTTCCGTCTCTTAGTTTTTTCACTCAAGTCTAGTGCTCCTACTACTTGAGTCACAGTTCCACTTCCTGTTTTTTGGAGGTTAATTGGAGATAACAGACTCTTATCAGCCTACAACAAGAAGAAGACAGATCCTCAGATCTGTCTCCTGAATAGCTAGGATTATACAGGCTTGAGCCACTGGTGCCCAGGGCAGCTCTTTTGCTTTTGTTTTTCAGAATAGGGTACACAGCCTGGGGCCAGTGGCTCACAACTATAATCCTAGCTACTCTGGAGGCTGAGGTCGATCGACCATAGTCCAAAGTTAGACCAGGCAGGAAAGTCTGAGACTTTTTTTTTGCGGGGGGTGGGGGGGTGGGGGGGTCCGGTCGTGGGGCCTGAACTCTGGTCCTGGGCACTGTCCCTCAGCTCTTTAGCTCAAGGCTAGTGCTTTACCACTTGAGCCACAGTGCCACTTCTGGCTTTTTTCTTTTTGCTTTTGTGGTGCTGAGGAATCGAACCCAGGACCTCATGCATGCAAGGCAAGGGCTCTACCACTGAGCCACCTTCCCAGCCCCAGTCTGAGACTTTTATCTCGTTAACCACCAGAAAATCAGAAATGGTTCTGTGGTTCAATGTAGTAGATTGCTAGCCTTGAGCAAAAAAGCTCAGGAGCAGCCTCAAAGCCTCAAGTTTAGTCCCACATCAGCTTATAATAAAAACTACACTAACTTGGCCTTGTACTGAGATCATTCTACCCCTGCCTCCCAAGTATCTGAGACCACAGGCATTCATAACTATACTTAATCTCCCCCCTCCCCCCCCCCACTTCCAGGTTTATCTTAATCTATGTTTTGTGCTCTAGATCCTCAGGTTTCTTTAGGATCTGCTGTATCACTTCTTTTTCTTGAGATAGGGTCTTGTTATGTTCCCAAGCTGGCTAAGAGAAGTGTTTTGTTTGTTTGTTTGTTTTGGGTTTCTTTTTGGCCTGTTTGGAGCTTGAACTCTAGGTCTAGGCACTGTCTTCAAGCTTCTTTTTGCTCAAGGGTAGCACTCTACCACTTGATCCATAGTGTCACTTCTGGCTTATTCTGTTTATGGGGTACTGAGGAATCAAACCCAGAGCTTTGTGCATTCTAGGCAAGGACTCTACCACTAAACCACATTCTCAGCCAAGGCTTTTACCTCAGCTTCCCAAGTGCTGGGATTACAAGTAGATCCAACCATGCCATTCTGATCTGTGGTAGGTCCACATGCTTCCTTTCCTTCCTCTAGCTGCCTCTATTGGCTGTTTTTTTCCCTACATCTAAGCAGGTTTATCTCTTCTATCTTTTTTTTGTTGTTGGTTGTGGGGCTTGAACTCTGGGCCTGGACGCTGTTCCTCAGCTCTTCAGCTCAAAGCGAGCGCTCTACCACTTGAGCTACAGCGCCACTTCCGGTTTTCTGGTGGTTTATTGGAGATAGAGTCTCACGGTCTCTCCTGCCCGGGCTGGCTTTGAACCGCGATCCTCAGATCTCAGCCTCCTGAGTAGCTAGGATTACAGGCGTGAGCCACCAGCGCCCGGCTCTCTTCTATCTTAAGTTTAGATAATACCTTAAGTTCCAGTGCCTTCAATTTATGCTTACAGTTCTCCTTTTCTCACCTTATACTCCTGCTTCATCCCACCCTGTCCTCACTTTTACTCTCATCACCTCAGTAGAATTTTCTAGATGCTAAATAGAGTACTTCTTTGAATTTTCTGCAGTATTCAATGGTTATTTCCATTTTCTTGACACGTCTTTTGGCTTTTGTTGCATCTTGCTCAACTAATTTTTCTATATCTGGTGGTTATTCTCAAACTACTTTTTGCAGATAGTCTTTTTCCATTCCATTCATAATGTCATCTGTCTTTGTCCTTATTTGCACCTTCTGTATCCAGGATATATACCTGAGACAGTTTTTTTTTTTTTTTTGTGTGTGTGTGTGTGTTTGTTTTTTGGCCAGTTATGGGGTCTGAACTTGGCCTGGGCGCTGTCTCTCAGCTCTTCAGCTCAAGGCTAGCATTCTATCACTTGAGCCACAGCGCCACTTCTAGTTTTCTGTTGCTTAATTGGAGATGAGTCCCATGGACTTTCTGTTGAGGCTGGCTTTGAACTGTGATCCTCAGATCTCAGCTTTCTGAGTAGCTAGGGTTATAGGTGTGAGTCACCAGCACCAGGCTCTGTCCTAAATATCTTTGTATCTCTATAAGAAGGTACAGTACCTTTATATGGTGGGATTCAGTGAATGTTGAACTGAATTGAAATTGATCAAATAAGGTCACACCATAGCTCAGCTTTGACACAGAGTATATTTCTGTTAGGCTCTCATTGTGTTTTCTTTAAAACCCAGATATTCCTTGTTCCCTTGAAAAAAATAGCATTATTTTCATGAAGAAATAAAAGGAAAAAATGGAGTCTGTGATCTAAGCAGTGGGACTTGAAAAAACAAGTATTACTGAACTGAGAAAAAGTTAAGAGTATGTAAATAAAGTCTGACCAGAGGAGGTTAATGCAAGGACTAGGAAGACCAATGGGATAAGACCTGGAAATCCACTATCAAGTAAAACTAGATCATGGAAACCGTGAGAGCCTAAACAGGCCTGATACCTCCCAAAGCTTAGCTTATGTTTCCCCCCTCCCCCTCTCCTTAGGTGCTACAGAGCTTCAAGATAATGGACTATAGCCTCTTGATGTCAATCCACAACATAGATCATGCACAGCGAGAGCCCCTAAACAGTGAAACACAATACTCAGTTGATTCCAGAAGACCGGCTCCCCAGAAGGCTCTCTATTCCACAGCTATGGAATCCATCCAGGGCGAGGCTCGACGGGGTGGTACCATGGAGACTGAGGACCAGTGAGTGGGCTCTGATGCACGAGGGAGTCAATCATAGGTCATAACATTTTTTCTCAAGAAAGGAACCATGCTCTGGAAAGGAGTAGCTTTGTTTTAGCAGTTAGACCAGCTATATTAAAACTTCTAGGAGGGGCTGGGAAGTTGGCTCAGTGGTAGAGTGCTTGCCTTGCATGCCTGAGGCCCTGGGTTCGATTCCTCAGCACCACATAAGCAAAAAGAAAAAACCCGGAAGTGGCGCTGTGACTCAAGTGGTAGAGTGCTAGCCTTGAGCTGAAGAGCTGTGGGACAGCGCCCAGGCCCAGAGTTCAGGCCCCATGACCGGACCCCCCCAAAAAAAATAAATAAATAAAACTTCTAGGAGCCTTTGAATAAGCTTTTTATTTCTGCTTGAGTTTTTATTTTTTATTGATTTTTGAGGTGGTACTGGGGCTTGAACTCAAAGCTTTATGCACTTGCTGAGCTCTTTTTTTTTTTTTTTTTTGGCCAGTCCTGGAGCTTGAACTCGGGGCCTGGGTACTATCCCTGAGCTCTTTCACTCAAGGCTAGCACTCCACCACTTTAAGCCACAGGGTCACTTCTGGTTTTCTGGTAATTAATTGGAGATTAGAGTCTCCTGGACTTTCCTGCCCCAGGCTGGCTTTGAATGGAGATCCTCAGATCTCAGCCTCCTGAGTAGTTAGGTTGCCACCAGCAACTTGGCTTCTTGGTGTTTTTTGTTTTTTTTTTTTTTTGGTCGGTCATGGGGCTTGAACTATGGGCTTGGGCACTGTCCCTCAGCTCTTTAGCTCAAGGCGCGAACACTCTACTACTTGAGCCACAGTGGCACTTCCGGTTTTCTAGTGGTTTATTGGAGATAAGAGTCTCATGGACTTTCCTTGCCCGGACTGGCTTTGGGCTGGCTTTGAACTGTGATCCTCAGATCTCAGCCTCCTGAGTAGCTAGGATTACAGGCATGAGCCACTGGTGCCGGCTTGTGCTTGTTTTTGACACAATCTCACTGTGATCCTCCTGGTCTCAATCTTGGCTTTAGCCTCTGGAGCGCTGAGATCTCTTAAGTTCTGGGATTACTCCTGTGAATCACCATACCCATTGAGTACAGTTTTGGTGGTATTTGGGTTTAACTCAGCCTTGCTCTTGCTAGGCAAGTACGCTACCACTTGAACCACAACACACCCCACCACCCCTTGAATAAGCTATTTTAAGAATAAGTGGGCTGGGAAGGTGGCTCAGTGGTAGAGCGCTTGCCTCGAATGCATGAGGCCCTGGGTTCGATTCCTCAGCACCACATAAGCAAAAAGAAAAAAGCCAGAAGTGGCACTGTGGCTCAAGTGGTAGAGCACTAGCCTTGAGCTGAAGGGCTGAGGGACAGCACCCAGGCCCAGAGTTCAGGCCCCATGACCGGACCCCTCTCCCCCCCCCCCCCCCCAAAAAAAAAGAATATAAAGAGCCAGGCACCGGTGGCTCACACCTGTAATCCTAGTTACTCAGGAGGCTGAGATCTGAGGACCACAGTTCAAAGCCATCCCCAACAGACTCCTACCTCCAATTAATCACCAGAAAATCAGAAATGGATCTGTGGTTCAAAGTGTTAGAGCACTAGCCTTGATCACCAAAGCTCAGCATCAGCTCCCTATAAATTCAATCCTCAGGACCAGAATTTTATTTTATTTTTGTCAGTCATAGCCTGGGCGCTGTCCCTCAGCTCTTCAGCTCAAGGCTAGTGCTTTACCACTTGAGCCACAACACCACTTCTGGCTTTTTCTCCTTTTGTGGTGCTGAAGAATGGAACCCAGGGCCTCATGCATGCAAGGCAAGCACTCTACTGCTGAGCCACCTTCCCAGCCCCAGAACCAGCATTAAAAAAAAAAAAAAAAGAAGAAGAAAACAGAATCTAAGACTCACGTTTATAAATTATATTAGAATCTAACCCTAAACCTGATGTACAACTTATTGTATAGTTATCTTTCTGTACAACTTATTGTATAGTTATCTTTCTTACCATCATGCATTTATCTAATACATATATTTACTCAAATGTAAATAACTATTAGATTTATTTATTTTTTATTTATTTATTTATTTTTGTTGGTCATGGAGCCTGAACTCGGCCTGGGCGCTGTCCCTCAGCTCTTCAGCTTAAGGCTAGCGCGCTACCACTTGAGCCATAGCACTACTTCTGTTTTTTTCTGCTTATGTGGTACTGAGGAAAAGAACCCAGGTCCTCATGCATGCGAGGCAAGCACTCTACCACTGAGCCACCTTCCCAGCCCTGTTAGTTTTATTTTTTAGGTGCTTGTAACATGACTTAATATTAAGAGTATTTAAATGAGCACAAATGAATCTATAAGTGTTCTCAGACAGTTTCAAGTTAATTGGTGGAGCATTCCCTAAATTTCTAAGTAGGAATGATTGTAGAGTCTTGTTGGTAGAACCGAGGGTAGGAGAAGGTAGCAAAGAAATTGGGGAGAGGATAACAGTATGTATTCCCAAAAAGTTTCTAAGATTGGAAAGACAATCTCTCAACACTTTGTGGAGAATAAGTCAGTTATGTTTCCATGTCTATGTTCCATGTTCTGATTTTGACTCAAATTTAGGAGAAGTCTGTACTTGCTAGCCAACAGATTTTCTGATTCTTACCTTTCTGTCTTCCCAGTATGGGTGGCATCCCTGCCCGGAATAATAAAGGGGAGAGGCTCCTCCTTTATATTGGCATCATTGATATTCTACAATCCTACAGGTGAGGTACATTTGGATCATAAATTAGGAGACAGAGTAGATACATATAACTACTCACATTGTTGTCAAGATAAATTTATTTCCTTGATTTTGCCTTTCTTGGCTTTCCTACCCCAAACTCTCCTGTGGAAAGCTGAGTCAGTGCTTGGAAGCATCAGGGTAGAACATGCCATCTGCCTGACTCTGTGAAAAACCTGTGAGTTGATTCATGCATCACATTGGGATCAGCTGCAACAACAATGGCCTTTTCACAGAGAAAAAATAAAAGGATCACTGTGTTCTATAAAACATATTAACCTGTGGATCTAAGAAGCAACGAAGAGGGAGAAGTCAGAAATACTAGAGTCTCATTTTGTTCCTGTAATATTTCAGACTGAACAAGACTTGAATTACTAACTCAGATAGCACCCAATTTTAGCTACCCTTTCCCAGGCTTGTCCATCTGCTCCCCCAGCTTTCATTTTATAATTAATATTATTTTTACTTTCGTTGTGCTCTGCTGGGAGACTGAACCCACATTCTCATGTGTGCTAGGCAAGTGTTGTGCCACTGCATTGACCATTTATGATGAATATTCTTGTCCCTGGGATGACAGGGACTTGTAAGCTCCATTTTCTCGTGGGAGAACAGTTGACTCAATTAGAGACACATTGGTCTCCATGTAGAACCTGCACAGTCTCCGTGTAGAACATGATTGCCAGCCTGTTCTGTGAAAGCTATATCCACAGTGGATATACTTTCCCAGCTATTGCCTTTCCTAGGTCTCTATTATTATTATTAACTATTAAGGCTATGCATTCAGAAACAATGTGTGGTATGAATTTTCCTTGGCAGGTTTGTTAAGAAGTTGGAGCACTCTTGGAAAGCGCTGGTACATGATGGGGTGAGTGTAGCACACAACTAAAGCCCCCCCCCTCTCTTTTTGGCCAGTCTTGGGACTTGAACTCAGAGCCTAGGCACTGTCCCTGAGCCTCTTGGTGCTCAAGGAAAGCACTCTACCATTTGAGCCACTTCCAGCTTTTTTTCTGAGTACTTTATTAGAGATAAGAGTCTGACAGACTTTCTTGTGTATGCTAGCTTCAAATCACTGATCCCCCCAGATCTCAGCCTCCTGAGTAGCTAGGATTATAGATGTGGCCACTGGTGCCCAGCTTGGGCTCTTCTCTTTTATTTCTGATTTGCCCCCTCAAGTTCTTCTACATTTTTGTTTTTGTTGGTAGTCATGGGGCTTGAAATCAGGGCTTGGGGGCTGTCCCTAAGCTTTTTCACTCAAGGCTTGCACTCTACCACTTTGAGCCATAGTGCCACTTGCGATTTTCTGGTGGTTAATTGGAGATGAGTTTTACAGACTTTCTTGCCCAGGATGGCTTTGAATCAAGATCCTTAGATCTGAGCCTCCTGAGTAACTAGGATTACAGGTGTGAGCCACTGGTGCCTGGCCTTTTTTTTTTTTTTTTCCATTTTCTGGTTTTACCCTTCTGTTAGGGTTAAAGCCTAGGGTAACATGATCCTTTGATTCTTAATCCTCTTGCTGATTCCTCTCTCTTTAACTCTGGAGCCGTCTCTTCTTTTTTACAGGACACTGTGTCAGTGCATCGTCCTGGCTTCTATGCTGAACGGTTCCAGCGCTTCATGTGCAACACAGTGTTCAAGAAGATCCCCTGTAAGTGGCTTCTACCAGATGATCTCCCCTCCCTCAGTGACTCCTTTACCCCAGAGATGGGGGACAGGACACTTCGGTCAGGGAACTACAAAGGCCAGAGGCCTCTACTGTTCTACCTGCATCCTGTGAGAGCTGCTTTTCATCCTTATGTCAGTCACTCTGTCTATCCCAGTTGTTTCTGAGTTGCTGTTTTCCCCTGGCTCTCCCTACATGTATCATTGAGGTGAGGGCCATTTCTGGGGAATTGGTTGGATTGAGGGGGGAAAACGTATAGTTGTGAATAGAATATACACCCCATATTGAGTTAGACAGAGCCACAGACTTCTGTGTCTAGAGATAGACAAGGTTGTTATCTACCAGTCTTTTTAATTTCTAGCCATGTCTCAGGTAGCAAGCAATTTCAGATTAGTTCAGGTGGATGAAGCATTACTAATTTTTCCTACGTCTTTTCCTTCAACTTAGTTTGGAAGTGCTAGTATTCTTTTCCTCAAACCTTCTGTGCTTTTGACATTGGCATCTTCTAGCTCTTCCTTTTCTCCTCACATTATTGGCAGCAGCAGTCCTTTAGGGAGGCAAAGACTACCTAGGCATGCCACATTCTTTACAGGCATGGAAAAATCCTTTTATATGTGTGTGTGTGTGTGTGTGTGTG